ATTCTAGGTAGAAATTCTAAAATAAATGTTAGGTGAAAACTCGTTGAATTGTCGCCAAGTTTGTCTGAAACATTGTAGATGTTGGCTGGAAAATAAAAACATGTGTGGAGAGTCAAATATGGGTAAATACTAAGTAGCCTTAATTCTATCTTAGGTTTAACATGTAAAAGTTGCCTTAAACATGAATAACATTGGCTGAAAAGTGGAAAAATTAGGGGTAAAAAAGTGACTAAAAAGTAGTAATATAGGTCGAAAGTCAGGGAAAATGAGGTGAAGATGATTCAGTAGAAAATTGTGTTCTTCAAAATATGTAATGATTCTAATGCACATAGCGGTTCTAAATGCAGTGTTTCATGTGTTTCATATAATGATTCTAATGAAGTGTTCCACATATTCACATGATTCTAATGAAGTGTCCCACATATTCACATGATTCTAATGAAGTGTCCCACATATTCACATGATTCTAATGAAGTGTTCCACATGATTCTAATGAAGTGTTCCACATATTCACATGATTCTAATGAAGTGTTCCACATGTTCACATGATTCTAATGAAGTGTTCCACATGATTCTAATGAAGTGTTCCACATATTCACATGATTCTAATGAAGTGTCCCACATATTCACATGATTCTAATGAAGTGTCCCACATATTCACATGATTCTAATGAAGTGTTCCACATGATTCTAATGAAGTGTTCCACATATTCACATGATTCTAATGAAGTGTTCCACATGTTCACATGATTCTAATGAAGTGTTCCACATGATTCTAATGAAGTGTTCCACATATTCACATGATTCTAATGAAGTGTTCCACATGTTCACATGATTCTAATGAAGTGTTCAACATGATTCTAATGAAGTGTTCCACATATTCACATGACTCTAATGAAGTGTTCCACATGTTCACATGATTCTAATGAAGTGTTCCACACATTCACATGATTCTAATGAAGTGATCCACGGGTTTCACATGATTCTAATGAAGTTTTCCACGCGTTTCACATGATTCTAATAAAGTGTTCCACATGTTCACATGATTCTAATGAAGTGTTCCACGGGTTTCACATAATGATTCTAATGAAGTGTTCCACGTGTTTCATATAATGATTCTAATTAAGTGTTCCACGTATTTCACATAATTTTAATGAAGTGTTCCACGTATTTCACATGATTCTAATGAAGTGTTCCACGTATTTCACATGATTTTAATGAAGTGTTCCACGTATTTCACATGATTCTAATGAAGTGCTCCACGTATTTCACGTGATTCTAATGAAGTGTTCCACATGTTCACAGTGATTCTAATTAAGTGTTCCACATGTTCGCATAGTGATTCTAATGAAGTGTTCCACATGTTCACATAGTGATTCTAATGAAGTGTTCCACGTATTTCACATGATTTTAATGAAGTGTTCTACGTATTTCACATGATTCTAATGAAGTGTTCCACGTATTTCACATGATTCTAACGAAGTGTTCCACATGATTCTAATGAAGTGTTCCACGGGTTTCACATAATAAATCTAATGAAGTGTTCCACATGTTTCACATGGTGATTTTAAGGAAGTGTTCCGCGTGTCACATGATTGTAATGAAGTTTTTAACATGTTCACATGATTCTAATGAGGTGTTCCACGGGTTTCACATGATTCTAATGAAGTTTTCCACGCGTTTTACATGATTCTAATAAAGTGTTCCACATGTTCACATGATTCTAATGAAGTGTTCCATGTGTTTCACACAACGATTCTAATGCAGTATTTCACATGAAGTGTTTCACATGTTCCCATGATTCTAATGAAGTGTTCCACGTATTTCACATGATTCTAACGAAGTGTTCCACGTATTTCACATGATTCCAATGAAGTGTTCCATGTGTTTCACACGATTCTAAAGCAGTATTTCACACGATTTTAACGAAGTGTTTCACATGTTCACATGACTAATGAAGTGTTCACATATTCACATGATTCTAATTAAGTGTTCCACATGATTCTAATGAAGTGTTCCACGTGTTTCACATGATTCTAATTAAGTGTTCCATATGTTCACATGATTCTAATGAAGTGTTCCACGTATTTCACGTGATTCTAATGAAGTGTTCCACATGTTCACATGATTCTAATGAAGTGTTCCATGTGTTTCAAACAACGATTCTAATGCAGTATTTCACATGCTAATGAAGTGTTCCATGTTTCACATAACGATTCTAATGCAGTATTTCACATGCTAACGAAGTGTTCCACGTATTTCACATGATTCTAATGAAGTGTTCCACATATTCACATGATTCTAATGAAGTGTTCCACGTGTTTCACATGATTCTAATTAAGTGTTCCACATGTTCACAGTGATTCTAATTAAGTGTTCCACATGTTTACACAGTGATTCTAATGAAGTGTTCCACGCATTTCACATGATTTTAATGAACTGTACCACGTATTTCACATGATTCAAATAAAGTGTTCCACGTATTTCACATGATTCTAACGAAGTGTTTCACATGATTCTAATGAAGTGTTCCACGTATTTCACATGATTCTAATGAAGTGTTCCACGTATTTCACATGATTCTAATGAAGTGTTCCACATGTTCACATGATTCTAATGAAGTGTTCCACGTGTTTCACATAATGATTTTAATTAAGTGTTTCACATGTTCACATAGTAATTCCAATGAAGTGTTCCACATGTTCACATAATGATTCTAATGAAGTGTTCCACGTATTTCACATGATTCTAATGAAGTGTTCCACGTATTTCACATGATTCTATGAAGTGTTCCACGTATTTCACATGATTCTATGAAGTGTTCCACGTATTTCACATGATCCTAACGAAGTGTTCCACATGATTCTAATGAAGTGTTCCACGTGTGTCACATGATTCTAATGAAGTTTTTAACATGTTCACATGATTCTAATGAGGTGTTCCACGGGTTTCACATGATTCTAATAAAGTGTTCCACATGTTCACATGATTCTAATGAAGTGTTCCATGTGTTTCACACAACGATTCTAATGCAGTATTTCACATGCTAATGAAGTGTTCCTCGTGTTTCACACGATTCTAATGCAGTATTTCACATGAAGTGTTTCCCATGTTCCCATGATTCTAATGAAGTGTTCCACGTATTTCACATGATTCTAACGAAGTGTTCCACGTATTTCACATGATTCTAATGAAGTGTTTCACATGATTATAATAGTGTTCCACGTATTTCATGATTCTAATGAAGTGTTCCATGTGTTTCACATAATGATTCTAATTAAGTGTTCCACATGTTCACAGTGATTCTAATTAAGTGTTCCACATGTTCACAGTGATTCTAATGAAGTGTTCCACATGTTCACATAGTGATTCTAATGAAGTATTCCACGTATTTCACATGATTCTAACGAAGTGTTCCACATGATTCTAATGAAGTGTTTCACGGGTTTCACATAATAAATCTAATGAAGTGTTCCACATGGTGATTCTAAGGAAGTGTTCCACGTGTGTCACATAATTCTAATGAAGTTTTCAACATGTTCACGTGATTCTAATGAGGTGTTCCACGCGTTTCACATGGTTCTAATAAAGTGTTCAACGTATTTCACATGATTCTAATGAAGTGTTCCACATGTTTCACATAATGATTCTAATGAAGTGTTCCATATGTTCACATGATTGTAATGAAGTGCTCCACGGGTTTCACATAATTCTAATGAAGTGTTCCACGTGTTTCACATGGTGATTCTAAGGAAGTGTTTCACGTATTTTACATGATTCTAATGAAGTTTTCAACATGTTCACATGATGCTAATGAAGTTTTCCACGCGTTTCACATGATTCTAATGAAGTGTTCCACATGTTCACACGATTCCAATTAAGTGTTCCACATAAAGATTCTAATGAAGTGTTCCACGTGTTTCACATTCTAATAGTGTTCCACACGATTCTAATGTGTTCCTTGTGCTTCACATGATTCTAATGAAGTGTTCTGCGCGTTTCACATAGTGATTCTAATGAAGTGTTCTGCGTGTTTCACATAGTGATTCTAATGAAGTGTTCCACGTGTTTCACATAAATCTAATGAAGTGTTCCACATGGTGATTCTAAGGAAGTGTTCCACGTGTGTCACATGATTCTAATGAAGTTTTTAACATGTTCACATGATTCTAATGAGGTGTTCCACGGGTTTCACATGATTCTAATGAAGTTTTCCACGCGTTTTACATGATTCTAATAAAGTGTTCCACATGTTCACATGATTCTAATGAAGTGTTCCACATGTTCACATGATTCTAATGAAGTGTTCCATGTGTTTCACACAACGATTCTAATGCAGTATTTCACATGCTAATGAAGTGTTCCATGTGTTTCACACGATTCTAATGCAGTATTTCACATGAAGTGTTTCACATGTTCCCATGATTCTAATGAAGTGTTCCATGTCTTTCATATGATTCTAATGAAGTGTTCCATGCGTTTCACACGATTCTAATGCAGTGTTTCATGTTTCACATGATTCTAATGAAGTGTTCCACGTATTTCATATGATTCTAATGAAGTGTTCCACGATTCTAATAGTGTTTTACATAAGATTCTAATGTTCCATTCTAGTGTATAGCAACGTCGTTCTAAATTTATCAATTCTAATTATGTTATGTTATGAGATTAGTAATCCAATTATGAGAGCTACTGTGTATTTATCTGGTAAGGTACCTTGGCTGTTTTACCAAGTAATATATTATATGCATGAACATTCTTTTCATTCTATTAATTGAAGAGAACAACTGACACATATAAAAGCACCATTTCAGAACATGAATGAAAAATGAAAGATGTTTTATGATTGGTCCAAGTGTTTGTTATTAATGGTGTGTTCTATCAATACATGTGCATTGTGGATTAATACACCAATAGTATGAGTGGGATTCACATACAAACATTAATTCGAATATCAGCATGTAAGTTTTTTAATTTACAACACACATTTTCTTGTTTCATTTTAATGTTTATTCAGCACAATGCAAAGGATAAAAACACAGAGAAAAATAGAAAATGTCAGCATAAGTTTATTTTTGTAAAAAATGTATTATTTATTTATAGTATTCTCATTGTACTGGAAAACTCTGAAAATTAAGTCTTGTTTGAGAGTAAGTATGCACTTCAACTGGCAGATCTTAACAATTATGACTTAAACAATATTAGCACAGTAATCTAGTCTGCTAGGATCACAGTTATAAGGCTAAAACACGCTGTTTTCTTTTCTGTTTTGATTTTGGAACTTTCGTATTTTTGTGTCTCAATGGCGTCTGAATGAATTTTGGGGTGCTGTCTGACTCAACTCGACATCGCCTTCTGTTTAATTTGATCCTTTCTGTCAAGCCAATAAATGCTGGTAGTGAACACAAAGCCGGATCCCATTTATTACATGCTGAAAGATTTCCGTCCTCAATGGCAATGACATCATGATCATAATTGCATGTTTCATCAAATTTGCAATTTATGTTGCTACATGTGCCATCATTAAAAGAATTCATATCATTTTCAAGTTTGTCAACATTTTCTTGCACTTGTAAGTCGATGAAATCCACACACGTATTCTCACATGAGACTTCATTTTTAAACTTATCGATCTCTGTCCCCATTTGGGATGATTGACTCAAGTAGATCTGAGGGCTTAGTATCGGAGGTCCTGTTTCCATGGCATCATTCTGAAACACATCATCATGGGCATGCTCATTGAACGCAAATGTTAGGCCTCGAAAATGAGGCAACTGAGACAAACTGGTGAATGGATTCCAGGCCTGCGGTTCAAACTTCACAAAATATGGTTCTTCAGGTTTTCTAGCATCATCACTCTCTTCCCATTGGCCAATATTTTGCATCACCTGGGCAACGCAGTCCATGAGTTCGTGGTCTATTTCTGGAATAACGTCTTTTTCACTGACAGGTAGGGATTGTGCATTGGCGATACAAGTTGAGGGGGTTTGGCTGGCTGTGCCATTTGTAACCGGTTTTACAGATTCAATAAACGTTGGTTCTGTTTGGTGTTTTACGAGGTTCAAATCATTGTTACACAGTCTGTTTCTTTCTTGAGGTATACCAGAATAGTTTGGCAGTAAAGTATTATTAATAACAGTTTCAACACTTTTATGCCTAGTACCGAATTCACCCAGGGAAAGAAGACTGGGGTTTGTATGCACAGGTGAAATCAACAAAACATCGTATTCACTGCTAGCTGAAACATCCTCAATTGGTATGACATGTACACTGTTGACTGTCCTGGCATCTGTAACATTGTCCTTTCCCATATTTGTACCACTTAGGGTTGGCATATTATCATCATTTTCATTGGGTGGAGTGACTAGCTCAGTGTCAGTGGGAGGGTTGACCTCTGTTGGGGTTACTGGCTCAGTGTCAGTGGGAGGGTTGACCTCTGTTGGGGTTACTGGCTTAGTGTCAGTGGGAGGGTTGACCTCTGTTGACATAAGTAAATCAGCTTTCTGATTGGCTGTTGCTAGTCTTTCATCTTCTATATCTATTCCATTACCAGTTAACATTTCAATTGAGGTGTTTATTTCTTTATCCTGGTCAAGACGCCGACGTTTTCGTAGAGGTGAAATGACGACAGTTTTACTGTTGGTTGAAAGACAAAATATGACATGTGAGATGGGGCATAATGAAGAAAGCTAAGAAAGAACTACCATGTGCTGAGATTATGGAAGCATAGTTGATATTAATTCAAATTATTTTAAGATTAGCCTTTTAAACAAGCAGCTTGGTGACTAATATTGGTCTGCTATTTGAGATGCACAACATGAAAACATTGATCCAGAGTATTGAGGTTTATAATACTGGCAGAAAATAAATTTGATTGTATACTTGTGGTTTGCAGTCTGATTTATTCAAGAACACAAGTTCAATTTAAATATGCATTGTTTTCAATATCAAACTAATTTTACCTGTAGGTTATCTGATTATTATGCATATTAGGTAATTAATATGCATGATCTGATCTGTTCATTATCCTAGAGCATATATACACCAAGTGTGATTATTAGTATTTGAGATATTGGTAGAAAAACCTCAAAAGAATGAATAATTATTATGTAAATTAGATAATTAATATGTACACAAAGTTTTACCCGAAATCAGGTTTGCTCATTGCCCAAGAGCACCTAGCTGTACCAAATTTCATTGAAATCTGACTAGGGGTTCTTTAGATATCAGTTGAGAAATTCATACATACACACATAGGTGCATTGCTATGTGTTCTGAGGATCTCCACTGATTAACTTTCAGTATATTTGAATTAATTTTAATAAAGTTGTGTTATGTTTGGATTACAACCCAACCCAACCCTACCCTATATAGGAATGCGTTTAATTGAAATCATATTAAATTTAATATAAACTGTACCAAACCCCTTTACTAACTCTAAGCTATGCAAACTTAAACTGCGGCTCCGGGTGTATAGTTTTCAGTATGCCGATGACCGGAAAATAACTCTTTTCAACAATCTTAGTGCCTGTGGTGCATTATTTTGATGTTGCACACAAACATGAATATATCCATGATGCAATTTTGATGTTAATTTACTAGTTCAGAGCGATGTCAGTGTGATTTCTGCGTAAAAGCGACGGAAAATCATGATTTAGACAGTCGCTTTGACTGCTCAAAATGACTGTCAGTCATGGGTTTATGCAAATCCAAGGTGTTAATCCTGAGTTGTTTGTTCAATCTCTTTGACGATGTAAGTGATATCATGGAGCTAATAAGAAATAATATGCTGTGAGCTGTTTTTCCGGCCACTTCAGGGGCGTCGTCGGCGCTCCACGAAGTGGTTCGGCTCAAGTGAGTATGGATGGCATGAGCTAGGGTGTGCATGAGAGGGATGGGACTGTACATAAACATTCCAATAATTTCCTTAGTGTATGTGCACAAAAAAAAGAGATGTATTACATGTCAGTACTACAGACTGCCACCACTTTATGTAAAACATAAAATGTACCAGGAAATTCATTACTCACCATGGCGACAAGTTGGGTGCAAAACGCTCCACAAATTGTTGTACAGATGGAAATTGCTGCGTTAATGCTTCAACACCCCAATAGTTACTTTCTTTATTTGCAAATGCCCGATGATATGAACGTGTTATATGTTCATGTATATCATCGTATCGTTCCAAACAACATTCACAATAACCCTCTTGTTTGCTATCATCTTCTACTTCAACTGGTGTTGTCTTGGTAACCGTTACTTGTTGGTAACGAGATCGGCATGCTCTTGATTTGAAAGAGGACTCAAAGAGCGAGGGCCAAGCTGATTTGCCAAATTGACGATATGATGGTTTGTATATACTGAAATAAAACATATATATATATATATTGTAAACTTTTTTACACCACAGAGATATATAAATATAATTTATTCTAAACGAAGTCCTTCAAAATGTTCATTATACATCTATATTTAAAATATACATAATATTGACAAGTATTTTGTCATGTGATGTTACAAAGTAAAATTCAAATAAAGTAGTGTCTATATAGACGTAACACAGTTAGAGTGGAACCAATGTTATATTATATTATAAACATAGAAGACATTGATTACTGTAAGAAGTTGTTGATAAAAATAATATAATAATACACATAATACCACATATATTGAAACTACTGGTATATTGTACGAACTGTACTTTTATTAAGCTTTCAATTATAGTTTCATTAAACAAACCAAACAAAACAAAGTGTTGTATTTTGCTCATTTCAATGAGCTGACGTACTATGCATCATCTTCTACTTTCATAAAACAATCTATTAATCTCCTAGGCCTCGGCTTTTTCGCATCACTGATCCATACTTTGAAGTCATCTAGTGGAACTATTTTCACTCCCCATGCTTTGGCATTCGCCAACACATCACTACAACCAGCCCGACAATGAACAGCTTTCTGTAGAAGTAATCTCCCTCTTGTAAGTGGTGCTGTTTGGCCGTAAGAGGGCGATTCTGAACTACCTGGACTTGGTGATGAAGCACCGTAGTAGCCTGGACTTCTTGCAGATGATGAGCATGATCCACGTTGTTCCTTCAAGCGGACAGGAAGTCTGTCACTTACCACATACGTGATATTCTTACTTAAGAAACTTTCTACTTTCTAAAATTAAGATGAGAAAAACAGTGAATGTGTGTGAGGGAGGGGATTTATTTATTTTCATTGGTGGGTTGTACATGTCCAATATTTTATTCACACTAAAAGTCTTTTAAATCTCAGATAATGCCAAGTACAAATCGAACAACTTAAAGATTGTATACATTGTAATGAACAATTAGAAATGAAATGCCAATACTTACTCCACCGAGCCCTTTGATATCTTTTTCGATATTTCCAATCTGAGTAAATGAACATTTCAAATGTAAATAAAATGATTTGGATTCAAGTGGTCCTTCTTCTAAAGATAGCTTTCTTTTTGCCTTTACTGGAGTGCCTTTGGTTCCTATAAATTCACAAAACAACATGTTTAAATCTACTATGAGTTTTAATACTGCAATTTTCAAGGTGTGGGGTCGAACTTTGACAAGAATATTGCATAAATCATTTTTTTGCAAGTCATGGCATGCTTGTTTAAAATACCTAAAATTAATTTAAAAGGTAGCGAGAAGGGTTTGATGATATTTTTGAATAAAGCATTCTCTGTCTGTTGTCTCAATCAGAACCATAACTTAGCACACATAATTCAAAAGCCTAAGCATACAGAGAGACAAGTTTGCACAAACTAGACAGTCATTGTGTACATAATTACCATGAGCCATACTGAATCAAAACTTAAACTCGGCAAAAACAGTTTTAGATAATAAAGCACTGCAGATTTGCTGCATTACTATAAACATACACCAAGAATGGCCAAACTTATTAACCACTGATATAATAGAACACATTAAGTGTGTCAGATAGCGAATAATTTCATGTGTGAGTGTTATAAAAACAAGCCATGCATGGCACAGTCCCCGTTAGTTATCAAATTTAAGATATATAGTTTTGTTGATAGTAATATAGCTGAAATATAACCATGTCAAGAATATGATTATGATGATTGTTTAACATTAAAATGATTGACATTTGTATCTGATCGTCAAACAAGTACTTGTCCATATTGGGAGATATTGCTCTGAAACAGCATTAATTGATGTATAACGAATATATAAAATTTGAATATAATCAATCAAAGCATTTAAGAGATATGGCTCTAGAAGCCCATTCATTAAAACGAAATGGCCGCCAGTCAGCCATTTTGAATCCGATCTGAAAAATAAAATGACGTGCATCAGGAACCCGTAATGTCTAATGTATGACCAAGTTTGAACGAAATCCATCCATAAATGCTTGATATTTGATTTTTTTAGCACAAAAATGGCCACCATACGGCCATTTTTGAATAGGATCGTCAAACCAATACATCTGTATATCTATGACATAATGTATAATGAATATTAAAAATTTGAACGTAATCAGTCAAAAGCCCATTCATTACAGCCGAGAAATGCTTGATTATAATGATTTTTTAGCACAAAAATGGCCGCCATTCGGCCATCTTGAATCAGATCGTGAAACAAATTGATGTGCGTATGTATAATATCATGTATGATGTATGTGTGAAGTTTGATTGTGATTTGTCCAGGCATTTCTAAGATACAGGTCCGAACGCACGCACGCACAGACGCACAAGGGTCAAAACATAAGTCCTCATTTTCAGACTGCGTCCGAACGGGAACTAAATAGATGGCATTTTGTATCCCGTACAGCGGGAGCATTCGGGAAACATGGCTTCCATTGTTATGCAAGGGATAATCCTGACAAACATTACTCTCCCACTGCACACACTGACTATTTACAAACAAGTCATTGAAAATGACACAGTTCCCGTTCAAACTGTTCAAATTAATTCTTGTGTACCAAACTTGGTCTTGACAATATTCAAGAAATATATTTACATGGTGAAATACCAAAACTGTGTACATTCTGAGTATGACAAATAAGAATAAACAAAAGAAAATGGTTTACAGTGCACTGATCAAGTATGAGTACTTTCAAAACATTTTTCAATGCAGTGTCTAATGTCTGAAACGCAGTGACAAGGTCAAAGTCAACTTCAGAAAGGCACCCAGAATGATTTGGTTCGAATGAAATGCAGCTATTTAAATCAGCAAGCAACCTGTAAATACATACTGGAATGACTTAAGATAAGTATTAAATACAATATGTCCCATATCTAGTATGTTATCAATAGTCATACTGTTAGCAGTACTGACATATTAGCAGTATCCATAATCATTGAATATACCAAGGTTACAAGACTCCAGAGGTGATACCTGAATATTAAAGTGAACCTTAATGAGCATAACCATCTTGAATTTTCAAGGTGAATGTTCCGGCGAAGCACTCCACTATCACCTTGAAGTATTTCATTAGGAATATGTGTATGTGACAATGCCCTCACAGTTTAGAATCAGTTTACCAACAGCCAATCATATTGCTTCTTTCATCAACGCGCTTGACCAAGCTATCAACATTGTCGGGGCAGAGCTTAAGTCACAAGACGCTATTAAAGACGCGCACCACTCTACCATGTATTTCTATGGGCTCTGTGCGAGCTGCTGTGGAACGCCGGTCGAAAAGCCGTGAAAATA